ATTATTTAAAATATATTTTAAATTATTAAATATTATCTATTTTTTTTTAAATTATAAATATTTAAAAATTAGTTAATATTTTTTAATAAAATTTAATCATAAAATCTCAATATATATATATATATATATGTATAATTATTTATTTAAAATCAATTTTACTTTTGGTAAAAATCAAATTATGATATCCAAACTAAAAATTTTAATTTATCCAAATAAAATTTTAAAGAATGATGGAAATTGAAATTAAAATAATTTGAATTCTAATAAATTCAAATTTTTTGAATTTTTAAATTTTTTTATCCAAACACACCATAAAAATTGTTAGCTCAAATTTTAAACTAATATTTAATTCCTTTCTTAAATATGAAGTTGTAATTAGATGTAATATTTTATTTTTATAGGAATCAATTTGATAAGAATAAGTTATACTTTCTTTAAAAAAGAAAAAGAAAAAAAGAAGACATGTATAACTGTAGTTATATATAAAAAAATAAAAAATAAATTTAAATAATTTATTACTAGTAATGAACAAGTGAATAAAATATAAAAAACCTATTCACTAAAAAATTAACTTAAAAATCTTAAAATTTAATTCAATTAATAAGATATCATTATAATCATGATTTTTAAATATTTATTATATATATAGTATTGATTGAATAAAATTAAATATTAATTAAAATGATTAAAAAATATTTTTAATGAATAATTAATTTGATTTTACATATCAGCCAAAGTAGAATAAGTAGAAGCAATTATTTTGGCGTGCTTTTAGAAGCTACTTTTGCCATCTGTTCAAATACAAAAGATTCCATTGAAAACTTAAAAAATTATTTTCAAAGTGTTTCTATAAAATTATAATAAATTTTCATTCAAATATTTATTTGGTAGAAAGTTTAATTAACTTCTAGAAGCAACTTTTGAAAAGCAATTTGGCACGAAAGATATATTATTCACATACAGGAAATCCGTGAAACGGTGGAAGATCTATATTTTTATAAGTACGTGAAACTAGGTGGCATATTCATTAGACCAAAGGTATCATTTTAGGCTTTCACGTATTTGGTGTAATTTTTTAAGAAGATATCTCAAATGGATACTTTTAAAAATATTTCCAAATTGGGGTAATTTGAAAGTCGTGTTTAAAAAGCACGACTTAATTTTCTTATATTTTGCAAAAGTCGTGAACACCAAACACGACTTTACTATTTTTTTCCCCTTTCAAAGTGGTAAGTTGTGTCTCAAATTGAGACAATATATATATATATAATATTTACGTTAAAATAATATTTTTTATGTCATTATTTTTTTTTTTTTGAAAAGAATGGAAGTCGTGTTTTAAAATACAACTTATATTTTATTTGACTTTTTTTTAAGTGAATGGAAGTCGTTTTTATGAAACAAAACTTCTACTGTAAAATTCGTATTTCACAAATACGATTTATACTAATTCAAGAATTTTCTTAAAAAGTTATCAATTCTGGAAATTTAAGAAAAAAAATGCACCATATAGATAATAATTTACCTTTATAAGAGAATATCTTTTATAAAAGTTAATATGATACGACGAAGTTATACTTTCAAAAATTACCTAATTAATTTTCTTTCCTTTCACTTTTTAAATACAAACCAAACAACAAAATTCACTTTTTCTCTTAGAAGATAATTTTCTTTTCGACTTTTTCTCCATTTTATTTTTCCTCCCACTCATCGATCATAAAAACAGAGTGTACTTTTGATAATATAGCAGAGACAAGATTATTTTCATACATTGTGGAAGATGGAAATTGATAGGTAGTGGCCACAAGAAGGCACATAACAGTGCATTTATAAAAATCCACGCAATAGATATATTATTCAAAGCCAAGGAGAATTATAAAGGGGAGTAACAACAGATTTAACTTGCAGGTATTTGTGAAGGGCTTCCAATCCATGATCTTTTCCAAATCCACTCATCTTATACCCTCCAAAGGGAACATCATCGCCGAAAGCAAAATAGCAATTGATCCAAACGGTGCCTGCACGAATGGACCTTGACACTGTGTTTGCTGTATCAATATTCTTTGTCACTATGCCTGCTGCTAGGCCGTACTTAGTATTGTTAGCACTCTTAATTGCTTCCTCAATGGTCCTGTTTTTCATATATCACATAGTTGACATATTAAATACAAGATTTCACCGTAAGAAACACCAGAAAGTAACATCAAAATGAACTTACTTAAACTTCTTCAACGCCAGAACAGGGCCAAATATTTCATCTTGTGCTATAAGCATATCCTCCTAAACGGGTACATGATGGTTAGTTATCTAATTATGCTTAAGATACCCGATTGATAATTTTGTGCACTAGGAATTCACCTTAATATTGGAGAAAATTGTCGGTTCAATGAAGTAGCCTTTGTTTCCCACTGTTTTACCCCCGGTCAAAAGGGTAGCTCCTTCTCTCTTTCCATGCTCGATATATGAAAGAACTTTTTCAAATTGTGTCTTGTTACACTACGATATACAGAAAGTTGTTATTAGGCAATAGATAATTAGCTTAATTATTTCTCTTTGTTGCTAAGCAATTTTCAAAAATATTGAGTTGTGGAGTTATTACAAGAAAACAACCGATACATATTTTAGGACTAGTGTAGAAATACCTATGCCACTGCCTATTTTTCTTACCTGAGGTCCTTGTTGAACTTTAGGATCAAAGGGGTCTCCAACTACCCAAGCTTTTGCCTTTTCCACTAATTTTTTCTCAAATTCATCATAGATCCCTTCTTGAACGAACACACGGGAACTTGCAACACAAACTTCTCCCTGTAGTCACATAAGAAGAAATCAAGTGTTGGCAAAGCTATTTGATAAAAGAAAGGGATTTCTTGAAAGTAAATTCACCTTGTTATATAGGATGCCAATTAGAGCAAGCTCTGCAGCTTTGTCTATATCAGCATCATCAAAAATTATGAGGGGTGACTTGCCTCCTAATTCAAGTGTAACTTGTTTCAAGTTACTCTTAGCTGCAGCCTGCATGATCTCACGACCTGTTTTCGTTGAACCAGTAAAGCTAACCTAAACATGCCACCAAGTTAGGAAACATAATAAAATGTATAAAGTTAACGTAAAGTTAATATACTATTAAAGAAATTAAATCACAAGAGAATTCGTGTTTTAATAATAAATTATGAAAAAATTATCACAATTTATCGATATTGACATAGAAATTTAAAAATGAAAATATAAACTTTTTTCAAAAGACTTATGGAGAGTTCAAGAAAACACCCCAAAAGGATGGGTACTATAGAAAGATGTGAGATTCACTCAGTTCAATTTTTAACCATCTTTTCCTCAAATGTGAATTTCTACGTAACTACATCGTTTCAATAGTGTTGTTCACTTACATGACTGATGACACCATATTATATATACATTATATGACATGGATACTATTTAAAAGTGTAGATGCTTCTTGGTCAGCAAGACAATTCAAGCATTCTTATTTAAGATCATGGTACTTCGAAATGTTTGACATAAATTACCGCATCAACATCCATGTGTGAGCTTAATGCAGCACCAGCAGTTGGGCCGAATCCGGGCACAACATTGAGCACTCCATCAGGGAGTCCAGCCTTGAAAAGGAAAACCCAATAAGCTTATGCTGAATTACCTATAGTGAAGAGCCATGGTTGATAAAGAAATGAGACATACCAATTTAGCAAGATGAGCAGAATACAAAGCAGAAAGGGGTGTTTGCTCTGCAGGTTTAAGGACCATGGTGCAGCCAGCAGCTAGAGAAGGTCCAACCTTGATGTAGAACATGGTGTTGGGGAAGTTCCAGGGAATGATGTGTCCCACAACACCAACTGGTTCCAGCAATGTATAAGCGTGGAACTCTCGGGACATTTTCAACACCTCTCCGTGAATTTTATCAGCAGCACCTGCATAGTAACGCAAAGTGCTTGCTGCTGCAGGAACTTCCACGTTCCTACACATGTGGTACAACTTCCCCGCATCAATCGTATCTAGTGCCGCAAGTTCCTCTGCGTGTTCATCAATTAGTTGTGCCCATTTCATCAAAATTTTTGCTCTCTCCTGATCATATCACATTCGCATATCTCATGTCAATTTTCATGTGTTGCAACTGAGTTTAATGTCTCACTTTAGTACTCAAAATTGTAATTTCATCCTAATTATTTCATATTCGTTTAAGTCAATAATATTTTTAGTTTTCGTAGGTGTGCTTTTCAAATTTACATTTGGCAACATTTAAACCAAACAGATATAGTCACACTTTCATCACAGGAGTAAAAATAATTAACTTTAAAATATTTTTGAGTTAATTACCTATACACTGCCAGTGTAAAGTTTTTTTACACTAGCAATCAATTAGATCTTTTAATTGTGTCATGTCACTATAAATACATTTACTTTTAACAGTGACATGATATAATTAAAAGATCTAATTGGTTGGCAGTGTAAAAAAACTTTACACTAGTAGTATATAGGTGATTAACTTAATATTTTTAATGTAATTTTCTTAAACTATATTTTTTTATTCATATTACAAACAATCATGTAAGTTAATATTGGCATATAGTTGACAAACTTAATTGAATTATAGTTATAAAGTGTATCAAAATTATGAAATAATACGGCAATTTACAATAGAATAGGTGCAATGTTTTACACTATTAAAATTTTTAAATTAAAAGTAAAACATTAGAGTCATATATATATATATATATATATATATATATATATGTATTCGTAACGGTTATATAAAATAAAGTATTAAATAATTTTTAAATTTTTTTAAAGTTTGTAAACTTGATTTATATATTAAGTATTTAAAATTTAATGGTTGAATTGTTAAATTTTGGTGTAGAACATAAGATATTGAACATAGTAAGTTTAGGTAAATTTATTTTTAAAATAAACATTTCTCCTCTCTCTATATATATATATTATCTTAAAGTCATCCTCTAAAAAAAATTATCTTAAAGTCATATTTAAATACGTAAATACAACTCATTGTGAATTGTGAGTGACTTGTAACTTATATATATATATTGAGTTACCAATTACCGTTAATAGAAGTTGAATTTTAAATTTTACATGTTTCAAAAAATAATCTTGAAATAAAATTGTAATTAATAATATCGACATTTCAGATATGGATCACATGGGTTTAGCATTAAATACTCATAAATCACATAAGAATTTTGATGTTAATTAATTATATATCTGTATATCAATCGGAATCGCATGCATATGCTTCAATAATAATAATAATATTTATTTCAAAGATTTACTTAATTTTGTATATCTTTGTTGCCAATTATTTTACCATATCATTTATATTGATATGATATGAACATATTATTTAATAAATTAACTACAAATATGTTACTCTCTTTTTTTTCACGTAGTAATGCAATAAAATTAAATATTGAAAGAGTAATCAAATGCAAAAGGTAATTATTTTTCAAGATTATTATAAGTATCCTCCGGTGAAAGTAATTGTACTTAAGTGAAGGTAATCATATACCTTTAGATGAAGTTGAGAGTATTAGTTAAGCAGTAGCATTAATATTCAATCTTGATTATTTAAAAAAAGAGAGAAAGGGGAAAATGAACGTACAGCACCGGGGAGGCGAGGCCATGGACCAGAATCAAAAGCGTGACGTGCTGCTTTAACAGCAATGTCTATGTCTTCTTTCTCTCCCTCGCTGATCAGAGCTATCACTTCTCCTGTTCTCGGATCTATTGTCTCAAATGTCTTTCCTGTTTTTTCCACGCAACAACACTTTTAGTTTGCAAAATAATTAAGAAAAATAAACATCCTTTCTTATGTCAACCTACCTCTGCAGTCTGCAATTTCTAATTTTTCATTTTTCAAAATCAAATAATACAAAATATTAAATCATTACAAATTTTGATTTTCTAATTAAATCATGAAAATTGCCGTGTGACATGAGTGAGACGAGACACCATAAACAATTCATGTAGTAGGTATAGAGAGCTACCAACAACTTGTTGGTTAAATAAAGTTTTGAATCTGGATCTATAATTAACTTGTCAATTAGATTTTTTATAAAAATTAATTATAAAGTTGATGAATATTTGATGTGATTATCGTAAAAAAGGTATAAATTAAATTATATTTTGTCTGGTATTTTTTATTTGAACTAAATTTAAAGCTCAGTTAGAATCAATTTAGAATAATTCCTTTATTATTATTTTTTATATAAAAATATCTTTTATTAATAGTCATTTATATATATTTAATAAATGATAAATAAAATAAGTGTATGTAAAATATTTTGCAAGTCTTTTTGTTTTATATTTTCATGTATATGGCCAATAAAAATAATACAATAAACATATTAATTATTAGATAAATTAAAGAGTTAATAAAAGTATTATAAAAAAGAATACGAGTATCTTATCTTCTTAATATTAAAGTTAATTAAAAAATATATATAAAAGTCTTCTGGTAAAAAAATTATCAAGAAATAAATATTTTTATAAATTAGTTATTTAGTTCTTTTAGCAAAAAGAGAATACAATTTGAAGAAAAACTTAAAATAGAGAAAGTTTGGGTTCAAACAGAGTTAAAGTACGATTCAGGACTTTACATGTATCTATGAAACAGAGGTATATTGTCTCTAGCTTGTAGGTGTATTTCATTTATGAATCCGGATACATCAGTGATCAGTGATCAGTGGTAAAAAGATAAAGAAAAAGGAATAGAAAGAGCATATAGAAAGGTAAAAGAAGCAGAAATTAAAGAATGAAAGTGCAGAGGGATATTATATTAATATTAACCTGAGACAGAGTCAACAAAATCTCCGTTAATGAAGAGCTTGGTGAAGGTGACGGTGGGGAGGTTGTTGACGGAGGCAGCATCGCCGTTAGTGTTAGTAAGGGAAGTCATGGTTGTGAGAGAAAGCAGAAGGAGTCGCTATGAGAAACAAACAGACTCGCACCACTGTCACTCTTATATAGGCCAGAAAAATATCATCAAGGATAATTAAAACAACAAGCTCTAATGTCAATGCACAATTGCCATTAAATGACAATTTTGTAAAAACTCCCATCTGTTTTTTTTTTTTTCTTTTTTCAACGGTATGAAATTTGAACCAAGTAAAAACCACTTAAATTCTTAATTAAATTACTCGTGATTTTTTTTCATGTTAAAATATATAATTTCATCTATTTAATTTAATATTATTAATATAAATTATTCTTTTTTTAAGAGATATAAATATTAGACTATTTCTTCTTCATATGATAAAATATATAATAAAGTAATTTTTTCTTTTTTTAAAAAATAAATGTCATATTATTATTATTCTATTCTATTATATTAAAATATATAATTTAGAGTATTTTTAACTTAATATTATTAATAGTGTAAAAAATTTTAATATCAATAAAAAGTATTCATTATAAAATTTAAAATATATGCTAAAATATTTTAGTTCGTTATGTTAGCATTCACTCATTTGATAAAAAGTCGTAAAATTTAATAATTTTTAATTTGAAAACTTAAAAATATATTTTGTGAAAATAGTAATTAATAAAGTATTTATTTTAAATATATAATTAAGTTTAAAAAAACTGATAATAATTATATGATAATTAAATATGTAAATTAAGAGATAAATTGTTGAAAGTGTGACATATTTGTATTTACTTAAAGAGGAAAATGTGTATTTTAATACAAAAATAGAGAGTTGTGTAATACTTGCATTTTTTATAGAAATATCAGTGTAAATAATGTTTTGATAATAATTTTTTTGAAAGAAAGTTAACTGAACTTAATTAAATTTTTTGAAAAAGTATATATTAAATGTTATATATTGAAAATATGTTGAGAAAGAGAGCTGTAATTTTAAATTTTCCACATCAATGACACTATTAAAGCATCTTATCCCTTGATAATAAACATGTACATAAAATTATTCTCAGGTAAATGTCATGCTAGTTAATATAATTAGTACTTTAATATGGTGTATATATAATTAAAAATTGTAATATATTTGTGAAATGCTATCAAATTTATATACTATAAAATAGTTATAAATTAACATTAATTAATACAAGTGGTAAGACATATGTCTTTTAATCAAATTATTTAAAATTTGAATCTTAATCTTAAGTATAGAATAAATTATGTTAGGAAGAAAATATTTGACTTGTATATATCCATTATTTTCGACAATAAATACTTCATATCATGAATGAAATAATACTTTTGTTTGTTACGGCATAAATTAATACCATTTTTTAAAATTAAATTTCATAAATGTAATAATTAATTATGTAATATTCAATGTATGAAACTATGAATTCAAATATTCATCGATGACATTATTAAACTTCATTAATTATCTCTTGTTTAATAATAAATATGTATTTAAATTTGCATAACGCACTGGTTAATATAATTAGTATTTCCATTTATGTGCACTACACAAGTTAAATGTTTATAATATAATATATAATAAAAAATTATAATAAAAATTACATAAAAATAATTAAATAAATATTATATTTAATTATATAAATTGTATTATATTTAAATTTTATATAAATAAATATTTTTAAATATATAAATTATATTTTATGTTTATGATAAACAATATATATTGTGACACAAATTATTTTTAATTATTGATAATTTTAAATATATTAAAATTTAATTAAAAATAAATGTAATAAATAAAATGGAGATAGTTAAGAAGTTTAAAAAAAAAATCAAAAAACCTTATTTGTTAAGAAAAACATCTAAAGAATGCTTTTACTAAAAAAAAAATCCTAAAACACTCGGGTAATTATTTATGTATATATAGTGATTTATTGCATAATAAAAAAGATATTTAAAATGTCCGTAGTTTGAACAATAAAGAATACTCATTAATGAATATAATGAATATGTAACATTGTGAAATTTTTTTAGAGTTGCTGTTTTTAAATTATGAGTTATTGTTGGTAAGTTGTTTAATGTTAAAAAACTCTAAAGTTAACTAATCTCATGAGTTGTGTTAATCGAGGATTTTTATGGATAAATGTCTAATTTAACTATGCGGAGCATAATATATATGGTTTTTGTTTTAAAATGAAATTAATCGCATAAGTTCTAATTTTTCATAAATCTTAGAGAGAGATTCCTAAAAGGAGAAGCTAAGTTCTAACTTCTTTTTCTATATCTCCTAGACAAGTGAGATCAATTGTGGAGTGTTGGTTCACGTCCTCAGAGATAAGTCTTTTATGTTGCTTAAGAGTGCGAAACTCATCTACCTCTTCTTCTATCTCGGAGTAGCTTAGAATGCTTCATCGATTTCACTTTGTTCTAAGGTAAGGGAAGCTAAAATTTTTGTTTAATGGAGTTGTTAGTTGTTAATTTCAAAGTATGTTGCATGTTGAAATTGGCTTTTGATGCTCTCTTTCATGAGTTAAGTGAAAATGAATAATCTTGATACTTTGATGGCTACATGTGTTGCTTTTGATTGGAAATGAGTTGAGTGTTGCATATATATGAAATTTAATGTTACATGTGGTTGATTTCTAAACTCCATGTGTGAAGGACTTGGAGTTAAATAACATAGTGTTATTCTTGTTCAAGAGAATTATGGATGTTTTATGGGTTTACTCACTCAGAACATTGATGCGGTCACTCAAAGTGAGTTGGTGCAATCAAGTCACATATGTTCTCTAACTTGACTCTCTTTGAGTAAACTCTGGGCACTTAGAGCAAAATTTAGAGGCTTAAAGTGAGGATTTACTTGCTCAGAGCGAGTTGACATATGATGTTGTAGGGCTAGTCTTTATCTATCATCGATTAGAGCAAATTCTTGAATGCTTAAGGCGAATTATGTTACCTTAAAGTGAGGGTTAACTTGCTTGAAGTGACCAAATCAAGACTCATACAAGGTGTTCTCTGTTTGGGCTCATTCTAAACGAATTCAAAATATTATTAAAACTCATTAGTGACATTAAAAATCACTATCTTCCACTCCTAACAACTAAAATTAAATTTACATTTAAATCTACTTGCTATTAAAATGTTTAATATAATTTATTAAATGAATAAAATTTCAAACAATATAAAAAAATAAATTATTTAGAACGTCCTTCAAAAAAAGTAGCCATTTTTTCAATTTATATCATACTTAAATATGTTTTTAGTCCATCAAATTTAAGGTAAATTTAGTTTTAGTTCCTCAAATGTAAATTTGGTCCTTTTAGTCTCTGTAATTAAAAAAATATATATTATTTTAGTCCTTATACTCAAATTTTGTTATAGAATTTATAAAATACTATTGCATAAAATATGCCTACTAATATTCTTGCTAGTGAAAATATCACATCAAACTCGTTGATAGTGCATAATTGTTTTAATTTGTCACTTTTAGATATATTGTGACTTGAGGGATTAAAACAAGACTTTTAAAAATTACATAGACTAAAGACAACAATCTTAAATTTGAGAGACTAAAAATATTTAAACTTTTATATTATAAATAATATGTTATATAAAATATGAGTAAAAATGTATTTATCACAAGAAAATTGTTATATAATATCACACACACCCTATAGTGACACAATATGTGTCATTAAGAACTATTTTTACCTACATTATAAATACAACATATATTGATATATGTTTAAAAAATACGAGTATAGATTACACTGACATATAAGATATGTTGTTAAATCACATTAAAAAATTAAAATTGTGTAGTTATATATCAAATGGATATATACCTAATATTCACAGCGACACTTATGTATATTACTGTATGTGACATTTGTTGCAAAATTATTATATTTGATATTATAAATGATATGTTATATAAAATAATAAAATAAGTATTTACTTGCAAAAATGTATCTGTTTTTTTTTTCTTTTGACATAGAAATGTATCTGCTAAGTAAGTATTTACAAACTTATGAAAATCGGTAAATATTTTTAAATACTTGTTAAACTAATTAAAAACATAGAAGTTAAAACTAAAAAAAAAAAAAAATTAAAAATATATTTAATTATACTAAAATTAAACTCGCTTATTTCTTGAAGATTTTGTAACATAAAGTTTAAAAAATTACTAGTTTATAGATTAATGATTTTATAACTTTTATTTTATATATGCAGTTAGAGATATCAACGGACAATTTTTTTTTTTGCCATTCTATGATTGGCGGATATACTTTGACGTTTTCTTTAGACGTGAGCTTTGACTTTAATTTATTGCTGTGTATTATTATATAAGTCAAATTATATTTTTGATTTTATATTTTATCTTTTAAATATTTAATTGATTTTTTATTTTCAAAATTTAGTCAATATGACCTTTTTTTTAAAAGATAATTTGAGACATAGTTTTTTTAAAAAATTATATACATTAAAAATATAAAATTTATTCTCTTAATTTAATTTATATAAAAATTATAAAATTTAATTGACATTTAAATAATTTTTTTTACTATATATATTAATAAAAATCGTATAAAAAATAAATTACATAAACAATTAAAAAAGTCTAATATTAAACATTTTAATTTTTTTGATTATTTAGAATTTAAGGTTAAAATATTTTTATTATTTGTTTGATTCATTTTTATGTTATTTTTATAATATTTATGATTTTCTTAGTTCGAATATTAATTGGATTCAATAACTTTTATGTTATTGAATCAAATAATAACACATATGTTCACATATTTAATTAATAAAAAATAATTTAAAATTACATTTTAAAATTAAAAAATAACAATTTTGAAAAGATAAAATTAACAAAAGTTGAGAAATAAGCAACTAACATTAATCTTTTGAACAATAAAAGACAAAAATAAATCTTAAGAATATTTAAATGATAAAAGTATTATATATATCTTGAATGAGTTATTTATGAAATTTCTCTTACGGAAATGACAGAAACGTCCTCTTATATAAATTTACGTATGTCGTGTAAGG